ACAGCATCGCCGAGAGTGTGGGGATAGCTGTTTTTTAGATTCAAGGAGCCGTGTACCCCACCCCGCCATAGTCAGAGTGGTGGGCACAAGGCCAGTTTGAAGCTCACTGAGGAGCAGCTCCCACCAGGCCTCCAAGGGTGGCCCGTGGGTAGCCCGTGCGCCCCAGCCGTCCTCCTGGCGTGCAGGGGGTTGGGACTGTCCGAGGGGGCGCGCGCGCGCGGAAGAGGAGGAGGAGGAGGAGGAGGCGGAGGAGGATACCCCCCCACACCAGGAGGGGAGGGAGGCGGAGGAGGAAGACAGAGGCCGGAGGAGGAAGGAGAGGAGAAGGAGGGGAGGAGGAGGCGGAGGAGGAGGAGGAGGAGGAGGCCGGATGAGGAGGAAGGAGGACGAGGCGGAGGCGGAGGACCCGAGGCGGAGGAGGAGGAGGGGGGAGAGGAGGATGAGGAGGAGGCGAAGGAAAGAAGGAAGAGGAGGCGGAAGAGAGGAGGAGGAGGAGGAGGAGGAGGAGGAGGACCCGAGGCGGAGGAGGAGGAGGATGAGGAGGAGGAGGGGGACCCGAGGCGGAGGAGGAGGAGGAGGAGGAGGAGGAGGAGGAGGGCCCGAAGCCGTGTCTTGGCATCTCGGATGCCCCGTTCGCCAGAGGCGTCCTCGGAGAGCCGCGCCGTGCTGGGGGCCCACGACCCCAGGGGCCGAGGACGCCCACAGGCTTGGCTCCCCGACGCCCCTCGACGGCGCACGTGCTCGTGGTATCCCCTCCTCTCGGGCGGGACGAATGGGGGGGGATTGGGAAAGGGGGGGTAAGAAATCTGCTGCATGCAGCTGGCTTCGGCCCCACCGAGGGGCCCATTCCTCGATGCTTGGGCGCCTCCGGCGCCGGGATGCGCCGGGAAAATCAGCTACGTGAGCTGATTCTCAAACCCCCCCTTTGCTATCCCCCCCTTTCGCCCGACCCGATTCTCCCCCCCTTTAGCCTTGGGCCAGGCACGTCCCTCTGCAGGAGGAATACCCAACAGAAGTCCGACAATGTACCCGAGGACGATCACTCGACTAGTGTTGACTGTTGTTTTGCAGGGTATTGTTGATTGTTCTTCCAAAATTATAGGAGAACGTGCCCGACCTAACCCTAGCCGTTTCGGCTCGAGGTAGATGTAGGATCAGGCGGGGGTGGCTGCCGCGCGTCGCCGCTGCCTGCCCCCCCCCCCGCCGCAGATAGCCAGCCTGCCCGCTGTCAGTGGCGCTCCACACCAGGCCCAGCGTGCCCTCTGGAGGTTTTCTCTTTGGGCGCCGAACCCCATGTCCCCAGCGTCTTGGCATAGAGTTGAGACGACCAGGCTCTCAGAGCTCATTTTGACACCTCCGACTCGATTCGAATCGGTATCGATCGATTCCGATTCCGAGTTGACTCGACCTCGGATTTGGGCTGCGGTTTCTCGATGGAGGCCGTAGTAGCTTGCCGGTTTCCGATTCGACTCGGCTCCCCCCGACTTGGCTGCCGATTTCCTCCGATCCGATTCTGTTCCACCGCCGATCCCACTTGTCGATTCGACTCTGGGGCTCTCCTGGGCTCTTGTAAGGCTTGAGGTGGTGGGCCTGCTTTCCACCACCACCACCACCACCACCACCACCACCACCACCACCACCACCACCACCACCACCACCACCATAAGTAGGGGGGCGAGGGGGTCCTCCTCCTCCTCCTCCTCCTCCTCCTCCTCCTCCTCCTCCTCCTCCTCCTCCCCCCCCCTTTTCGTCCTCCTCGTCCTCCACCTCCTTCCTCCTCCAACTTCTGGTGGTGATGGTGGGAGACGGGCCCATCATGGGGGCCGGACTGCCCAGCTCTCGGGCCACGGGGCTGACGGGCACGGCCCCCTTGCGAGCAGAAAGCCCGGCCGACGGATGGGGCCGAGATTCCGTCGTCGGATGAGGACGAGAACGACGGCGACGACGACGGCGATGACGACGGCGACGACGACGACGGCGATGACGACGACGACATTAGGATGACGACGACAACGACGACGACGACGGCGACGAAGACGACTACTGCGGCGACGACGACGACGACGGCGACGACCACGGCGACGGCGGGGACGGCGACGACGACGACGGCGACATGAGGACGACGACGACGACGACGACGACGACGACGACGACGACGACGATCACGGGACGTCGGAGGCACGGAGGAGGGCCGCTCCAAGGCAGGACTGCTCACCGCTGCCCGGGCAACCGAGGGCCCCGGCGGTGGCCGTGGGCAAGCTCTGGCCTCGGGGCCGTCCTGGCGGCGCGCGCCTCGCGCCCGGGGGGGGGGAGGGGGAGGAGGGAGAGGAGGGAGGAGGAAGGAGGAGGATGGAGGAGGAGGAGGAGGAGGAGAGGAGAGGAGGAGAAGCAGCAGCAGGAGCAAGAGCCAGGAGTGAGGAAGGAGGAGGAGGAGGAAGAGTAGGAGCAGGAAGCAGGAGGAGGGGAAGGAGGAGGAACAATAATAAAATAATAATAAATAATAAATAATATGAAGAAGAAGACGAAAGACGAAGATTTGAAGACGAAGAAAGAAGGGACGATAATAATAAGAAGGAGAAGAAGAAGAGGAGAAAGAGGAGGCGGAGGAAGGAGGAGGAGGCGGAGGGGGCGGAGGAGGAGGAGGAGGAGGAGGAGGAGGAGGACGAGGCGGAGGAGAGGAGGAGGAGGAGGAGGAGGAGGGAGGAAGCTTGGCCTCCCTCGCCTCCCTGATTCGGCCCCCCCCCTCTGCCGGCCCGGATCATACCCCTCGGCGTCCCTCACGCTCGCCCACCGCGCGCCCCCGGGCCCCGACCGCCCCCAACCCCCGCGCCCCGACCGCGAGGCCCCCCGGGCCCCGCGCCTCTCCCCGTCCCCTCCTCCGCCCGGCCACTGCCCTGGGCCTCCTGCTGGGCCCCGTCGTCCGCTCCCTCCCCCGGGGAGCCTCCCCCGCGGGGGGGGAAGTTCGGAGGTGGGAGAGGTACACGCCGGTCGTTGAAAGGAGGAAAGACTGGTCTACTCTGTAAGAACGGTTTTTTGAAGGCAGATCTGCCTTCAAAAAACCGTTTTTACAGAGTAGACCAGTCTTTCCTCCTTGCAGGTAGAGTGTTTCCCCAGATCCCAATCTACTTTAGGCGCCGTCCCACCTCCATCAACAAGCCTTCTTCCCGCTTTCTTCATCTTTCGGGCGGAAGCCCAATCTATTTCCCACGCCTTCCTGCTTCATGTTTCTTCCCACTTCTTCCGACGGATGGGTATCCATACTGCTACTCTTGCATCGTTTCACCCTTTTTGGGCCTCCTGGGAGGCCCTCGTCGCCACTGCTGGATTCGCCTCGACACTCTAGTCAGAACGCACCCCAGGAGAGGTTCGGGGAGTAGCGGCATCGGTGCCTTCAGTTACTTAAGTTTCCCCAGAAGTGAAAAAAGGGGGCAGGCCTTTCGCAAGGCTCGAAAGGCCTCCGGCCTTCTGATAATATTTCTGATCCTTCCACGAAGACACAGACACGGGAAGCCTCTCAGAAGGCGCAGGGGGTTCTGAGAAGTCCCGCCGCCCTCTGAGAAAGCCTTCTCCCCTGACCTTCCCCCCAGCCTCGCCGCCGATCGTCTGCTGCAGCTCGCATGGGCAACGAGGCTAGCGCCTCCGAGCCTGACCGGAGGCCCGAGCCCGTCACGCTCAACATCTACGACCTGCACGGCCACGGCGGGGGTATACAGAATCGCTGCCGCGCACTCCCACCATGCAACGCTCGGGGAGCCTCATCCTACCCCTCCTCCCCCTCATCCTCCCCCTCCTCAAAAAGAAGCAAATAGCAACAAGCACCCCCTCCCATCCCGCTCGCCCCTTCTAATGCCCCCTCTGCCCCCTCTTCCTCCCCCTCCTCCCTCCTATCCCTCTCCCCTCTGCGGGGGGTCGGGGGAGGGGCGGTGGGTGTGTGGGGGTCGGGCGGTGGGCCTGTGGAAGGCCGGGTGGCTCGTGGTCGCTGACGTGACGAAGCGGGGGGTCCGATAACCCCGACGCACGCGACAGCCCCGCAGCACCGCACTGCAGTGCAGATTTCGACCCGATGGATCCGATTCGCCATCGTTTTCGGCCAGATTGATCCGATTCGTGTCGATTTCCCGGCGATCCGACGCGGCCCGATGCTTGCATGGCGCCGTTGTGCATCCTGGCGCAGTCGATCCGAACCGACTTCGACTCCGTGCCGATGCGGCTCGATCCGACGCACATTCCGATTCTTTTTCCGATTTATACTGACCCATTCTGCCCTGCACTCACACGCAACGGCGCACCGCGGGTGCGGTGGCGGATCTTCAAGGGCGTGAACGTCCTCCTTCGCGCCGCCGGCACTGGCGCGTTCCACGTCGGCGTGGAGGTCTTCTCGGGGGCGTCCAGGACGGGGGTGATGCCGTTTTGGTCGTCGAAGGGGGCGGGGGGGGGAGGAAGTTTTCGTTGGTCGAATCCGTGAAGGGGTTTTCTCGCCTCGGGGTGACTTCAGCAGCTGCGCGCTTCCCAGAGTACCCGGATTTTCCCGAACAAGCACATGAGGCCAGTGTCGTGACCCGAGGGCCACCAGGAGCAGAAGCGGGTGTGAGGACCAGGGGTGCGCGGATGTCGTGGCCGCGGCCGAGGCCTCTCCAAGACCTCGTCATGGTTCCCTCTCCTTTCCTACACACACACACACACCCGGACCCCCACTCGTCCTCTCACACGCCTCGGGCCATGGTGCGGACCCTGCGCCCTACCCCTGATGCTAGCAGGGGATCGACTGCAGAGTTGATTTGCCCCAAAACTGATTTCCCATAAGTTCGACGAGACATTCAATTGTGGGGTGAGTCAATTCTGCAGGCGATCTCGTACTCGACTAATTGTGGCCCCCCTCTTCGGCGCCCCCGGTCTTCGGCCGGGAGTGGAGCTTCGGGCACCGCGAGAGCCGCAGAAGCGGGGTGTACAAGCACGCCCCGCGGGAGAACGAGGTCCACTCCTACCGCGAGTCGATCCTCATGGGCGAGACGGACCTCACTCAGCACGAGGTCGAGGTGCTCGTGCAGCGGATGTCCCCCCGGTGGAGGGGCGACGGGTACAGCGTGTTGTCCCGGAATTGCTGCCACTTCTGCGACGAGCTATGCATGTCGAGGAGCAAAACATGGCATATAGATCGGCGCTGGACCCCCCTCCCCGGCGCGCGGAGCTCGCCAGGGGCGCGGCGCTGGAGGCGCGCCGCCAGGGGGGGGGCCAGCGCCGATCCCAGAGCGCCGCGCGGACCTCCGAGAGCCTTTGCTCTCGTCCCAGGCATGCGACGTCCTGATTTCATGGGCCCGTTTTCCACCACCACCATAAGTTGGAGGGAGGAAGGAGGTGGAGGATGAGGAGGAGGACGAATAGGAGGAGGAGGAGGAGGAGGAGGAGTTAGGAGGAGGAGGAGGTGGAGGATGAGGAGGACCCTCTCCTCCTCCTCCTCCTCCTCCTACTTATGGTGGTGGTGGTGGTGGTGGTGGTGGTGGTGGTGGTGGTGGAAATTGAGCCCATCATGATTTTTGTTGATTGAGCTGGGTCCCTGGAAGTCCCGACCCTTTCCCCGGACCGGTTCTTCGTCCTGAGTCGTTTTGTTGACGCTCCCGAGGCCCGGTAAGGGGCCCAGACCCTCCCGTCCTGATTTCCAACGACGCGATCACGTCTGGGGTGCCCTCTTCTGCTCCTCGGGCATGGAGCTCGGCGTCGCTCGGCCGTCCTTCGTGGCCCTGGGCCCCCTGCCTGACTGGCTCGGCGGCCTCGCCCGCGCGGGCGCCGCCCTCGGCGGCGGTGATCCAGCGCACGAGGCCGCGGGGGCGCGCGGGCCCCCCGCGGTGGGCGGCCGCGGCCGCGCGGCGGCGGAGCGCACGGCTCCCGGAGCGCGCCCGGGCAGGCCTGCAGCGGAGCAGCTCCTGGCATCGGAATCGGCTCGGCGGCTGAGGGTGGGGGCTGCCAGAGTCGGGGCAGAGCAAGCGCCATGAAGACATCCACGTTTGTGGCGCTCCGCGCAGCTCTCTGGGATCCGCGCTGGGCCCCCCCCCCCCCCCCTGGCGGCGCCTCTGGCGCCGCCCCTGGCGCTTTCCGCGCGCCAGGGAGGATGGTCCTGCGCAGATGCATGAAATCCGCGCGCAGCGCCAAACAGTTTATGTGTATCGCGTTTTTCCTTTTTTTCTTCTGCAAAGACGCCCCTGGCCCGAGGTGCCCCCAGCTCTTCGTGCCAGCGTGGAGCCACGGAGCCCCCCGGGCCTCGTGAGGGGTGCTCTGGCGGCCGTGGGAGCCTCCTTGGGCATCCTCGGGGGCACCCTGGGCCAGGCACCTCCAGCGACGCCCGACGGAGGTGGCCCAGCACTGGCTGCGGGAGTCGGCGGGAGGGCAGGCTCGAGGCGCGGGGTTCGACAAGGGGGCCGCATGCGAACCCTACCCCTGCCCCCCACTATTTCTGAGGGCCAGGGCGGGGCTCACTTCGCTCGGGAGCTCCCGAGCGAAGTGAGCCCCGCCCTGGCCTGAGAAATCGCGGTGGGCAGGGTAGGGTTCGCATGCGGCCCCCTATCGACCAGGTGCTCTGCCCTTCTCGGTCTGCGGGGGGCGGTGTCGGGCCCTGGGGCCGTCAAGAGAGGATCCGGAGTGAAAGAGTCGTTTTTAATACATGCTCCGCGTGCGGATCATGTATTAAAAAAGCAGGGATTTAGCATCGAAAACAACGATAAGTTCATGCATACATTGATCCATGCATTAATCATGTATCAAAAATCCCGTATTATTAAAAATCCAATGTATTAAACATTGACCTGTACCCTGGGTGGGGTCCGGCCGGAGCGATTGTGAGCGGATCGGTCTTCCCTCCTTGTTGGCCGATTCTCTCGGAGCCCCACCAGCTCAGACCCCCATGCCGCCTCCAATGCTGGCGGATGAGGACCAAGCTCGGACGACTCGCCCCGCTCTCGCCGCGGACGCTGCGAGAGAGCCCTCGTCGGCAGCCCAGGGGCCCTCTGCCCCGAGAGCGACCGGTCCCAGCGGGACGTCTTCCAGACCAAGACGCCCGAGTCTAGATGCTACAGGTTGCGCCACGTCCGCCGATCCCATGGTATTTCCGAGGAGAGCGCTTCCAGCGCCCAAGCACTGTTCGCAGGGAGCAGAGCTTACAAGGAAGCTGAACCGGGATAAAGGCAGGGGGGAAGTAGACCAAGACGCCCGAGTCAAGACTTCAAGTCGCCAGGCAGGGCTCGTCAGTCCAGGCCGACCTCCTGGATCCGCACGTCTTTAAGGCGCACCTGAGCGGTAGACCAAGACGACCGAATCAAGACGTCCACGTCGCCAGGCAGGGCTCGTCAGTGCAGCTCGATCTCCTGGATCCGCACGTCTTCAAGGCGCACCTGAGCCTCCTGGGCGCGTGACGACCTCGACCTTGCGCCTCTCCCTCCCTCCTCCCTCTCCGCCGACGACCTCGACTTCGACGACAGCGGCGACGACATCCATCTAGGATCCAGGAGGAGAGAAGATTGAGGAGGAGGAGGAGGAGGAGGAGAGAGGATTGAGGAGGAGGAGGAGGAGGCGGAAGAGGAGGAGGGAGGAGGAGGAGGAGGAGGAGGAGGATAGGGGGATGGGAGGGAGGGAGGGAGGAGGGAAGGGCGGAGGGAGGGCGGGAGGGAGGGAGGGAGGAGGGAGGGAGGGAGGTAGGAGGGAGGAGGGAGGAGGGAGGAGGGAGGAGGGGGGAGGAACGGATGGGAGAGGGAGGAGAGCGGAGGCGGAGGAGGAGGTAGGAGGAGGAGGCGGAGGAGGAGAGGAGGAGGAGGCGGAGGAGGAGGAGGAGGAGGAGGAGGAGGATGGGGAGGAGGGAAGAGGAGGAGGAGAGAGGGAAGAGGAGGAGGAGAAGGAGGAGGAGGAGGAGAGGAGGAGGAGGAGAGGAGGAAGAGGAGGAGGAGGAGGAGGAGTAGGAGGAGAGGAGGAGGAGAGGGAGAGGAGGAGGAGGAGGAGGAGGCTTTAGAAGGGGGAGGAGGAGGGGGGGGAGGAGGAGGAGGAGGAGGAGGAGGAGGAGGAGGAGGAGGAGGAGGAGGAGGAGGAGGAGGAGGAGGAGGAGAGGAGGAGGAGGAGGAGGAGGAGGAGGAGGAGGAGGAGGAGGAGGGAAGGAGGAGGAGGAGGAGGAGGAGGAGGAGGAGGAGGAGGAGGAGGAGGGGGTAGAAAAGAGGAGGAGGGGAGGAGGAGGAGGAGGAGGAGGAGGAGGAGGAGGGAGGAGGAGGAGGAGGAGAGAGAGGAGGAGGAGGAGGAGGGGGAGGCGAGAAGGAGGGAGAGGAGGGAGGAGGCGGAGGCGGAGGCGGAGGAGGAGGAGGAGGAGGAGGAGGAGGAGGAGGAGGAGGGAGGAGGAGGAGGAGGAGGAGGAGGAGGAGGAAGGCGAAGGAAGAAGGTGGCACGAGGAGGAGGAAGGGCCGGGCGACTGGGGAGCAGGAGGAGGAGGAGGGAGGAAGGGCGGGAAGGCAGGCGGAGGAGGGCACCGAGGGCGAGGAGGTTAACGAGGCGAACGACCAGGAGGAGGAGGAGGAGGGGAGCGAAGACTCTTCGCTCCCCTCCGCTGCCTCCTCCGACCTCCGAGGTCGAGGACGACGACGAGGGCGCCGCACTCTCCGGGCGGGCCCTCCGCCCGCGGAGGCGCCCGCGGACTCGAGGCCCCTGGCGCGCTTGCGCCTCGGGCGGCTCGGGCGAAGGGCCGCTCGAGGCGGGCGGAGGAGGCGAGGGGGGGGAGGAGGAGGGGGAGGAGGGGGAGCAGGAGGCGGAGGAGACGAGGGGGAGGAGGAGGAGGGGGAGGAGGAGGAGGAGGATTGAGGAGGAGGAGGAGGAGGAGGAGGAGGAGGAGGAGGAGGAGGAGGAGGAGGAGGCGAGGGGGAGGAGGAGGAGGAGGAGGCAGGGGCGCGGCGAGGGGGGGGGCGCACCTCTGGCGTCCGCCCGGGGCACGGCCTCTGGCTGCGGCATGTTCGCGTTGTGCCAGCCGGCGGCGGCCCCAGCGCGTGCATGTGAGGTTGCACGCCGCCCGTGGCCCAGCAGCGGCCCGTCGTTGAGCGATCCGGCGCTCACAGAGCGGCCGATCGTGCAAGTTGGAACGATCCAAGCGGCCGATCGAGCGGTGTCGCGATTTGGGGGGGCGGACCTCTGGCGTCCGCCCGGGGCACGGCCTCTCCAGAGGGTTCCAAAGGGGGGTTTTGGGGGGAGGGGGTTTTCCAGGAGGGGTCCCCCAGGGGCTTCGCACCTCCTGTTTTCTGACGAGGTTCCAAGGCCCCTGGGGGGCTCTCTGGCGAAACTCCTCCCCAAAAGCCCTCTTTGGAACCCTCCGGCCTTTGGACCTGCGGTCAGCGGCTCCGTAACGGGTCCCCTCTAATCAGGTGCTTTTCGGGGGCGGCAAAGAGGGGGGCGATGACCAGGGGGGCGGAGGAGTGTATCATGGCGGGGGCCATGAAACCTCCCCAGATTTCATGGCGCCTCTTCTTATTTCAATGCGTCCCCGGCACCACCCTGGGCCGCGCACATGCCGCCGGCCATGATTTTCGCCCCCCCCCCCCCCCCCCACCCCGCCCCCCCCCCCCTTCCCCCCCTCTTGGACGCCCCCCTCTTGGCCCCCTCCCGAGCACCGGGTACTCACTGACGGGTACTCTTCAAGCAGTTGCCGTTGCAGGGCCGCTTCTTGGCACTGCAGCGTTGCCCACATCGGGGAGGGTTGGGTTCGCTGGGTCACTGGCCAAAGTTCCCGTCGGTGGAGTGCCGTTGGAGGGGCGCCGATGCGGGCGCCTTCGGTCTTGTCTCCGGGCCTCCCAGGTGGGGTTTGCAGGATCGCGGCGCGCCGACTTTCTCTCCGCGCCGATGGCGCGGATGCGTCGGCGATGCGGCGGCGATGCGGCGCGATCCTCCGACTCCATCGACTCGGACCCCATTCAGGAGGCCTCTGTTCTCTTCCGCCCCCTTCGCTTTCTCCTTCCGGCCTCCTCCCTCTTAAGCTCGGCCTGGTGGAGCACGACAGAGTTGCCTTCCCATCAGTTGGGATGCTGGCAGTTTTCATTCCTGGGCGTCTTCGCGGATGGAGAAAAAAGGGCATGGACATCAGAGAAGGAACAGGTCTACCGACACGGCTCCTCCTTCCTTCCTGCCATTGCTCCCGAGCGCACTCCCGCATCTTTGGAATACCAGCGCCACCCTCGGCAACTCGTGCCGACTGACTCTGGCTTGGGCTCAGGCGTTTCGGAGGTCCGGGCAGCAGCGGTGTCGGCATCTGTTCGTCCCCCCCTGGTGCAGCCCAGGGGCGGGCATCATATCATACGTATTCGCAGGGCACCCCTCGCCGAAGGCGTGGGCGGCCGGAGCTCCTGGACACATGAGCGACGCAGAAGCGTGGCCTTCACCGACATTGGCGCGTAAGATTCCCGCGAAAGGTCACGCGCAAGAGTCTCCAGGCGGTGTGCAACGCTGACGTCCCGAGTAAGCTACGGCGTAAGGTCGCTATGTCATCGTGTGTGAGACCATTTTCTTTTGTTGCTCACATGCCCTTCTTTCAGGGCGCGTTGAGAGCGATGTTACTCTGACCCCACGCCTGGCCCAAACCCCACCTTTACGTTAGGCGTTGGAAAGATAGCATGCGATGTGGCGCCGCCGGCCCGATTATGGCACCGAAGAAGCCCTGGCAAAGAATATCCTCGCAGGGACATCGGCTCACAGGGATGGAGTATTTTTTCGCTGGTCCATGTTTCTCGCAGATAGATGTGGTTTCCGTATACACCGTTTCGACGGTTCAAACATAGTTGTGGGGCCATTGACGAAATCAGAGCGAAATTGATTTCACAGAACTATTTGAGCACTCAAGCCCAGATGTGACCCTTCATAAGATCCCCTGCTCTTTGACGAGGGATGGGGGAGAAGGAGGTGTGAGGAAGGGGATGAAGGGGAGGCTTGAGGAGGGCTTGGGGAAGGGGGCGAAGGGGGGAAAAGGGGGGCGGATGGATGAGGTGGAGGAGGTGGAGATTAGAGGTGCCTCGAGCGGGACGCGCAAACTCGGAGGAGGACTAGTTGTGACAACGGCAGCCTTACTTGGCGTTGTTTGTTCCTTTTGGTGGCCTCCTTGTGCCTTCTCGTTGACACGGCTGGATCTGCCGCGGAAAACGGATCATTTTGGACCACAGGAGGGGACCCGTGATCGGTTTTGAATAGATTTTAGCCGTGCGGGAGAGTCGCCGTTGTCTCAATTGGCCCTCCTCCGAGGGGGGGAGGAGGGAGGATTCAGGATGGAGGTGCCGAGGAGGAGAGGAGGCGGACCAGAGATTACACCCAGGATGCATCAGCGATGACATGATACACTCTCCTGTCCCAAGTCCCCTCCTCTTGAGTCTCTGCAAGTGTGCCTTTCCACTTCGGACCTCGACCCCCTAGTCGCTTGTTGGGACTGCCACTCAGGCGATAGCCCCGTTTTGTGCATGATCGGCCCTCCATCTTTCTAGTTGGAACATGTTCAAAGGGGCAGCATGAGAAAGCTCAAGACAGTGTCGAACGATACCCCCGTGTTGGTAAGGGATGGCCACCATCCGTGCAAGTGAGAGTTATGCATTGCCGCAGTCCTGAGCATACACTCGGCGAAGGTCTCTAGCGGGAGCCCCTTTTCGAAAGGGAGCCGTCTCCCACCTGTGAATTGGTTGCACCGTTTTGAATCTCGTGTCGCAGGATTTTTGGAGTCAAGCGAGAGCTTCATGTTGAGAAGTTAGATTCCTCCACGCTTGTAGCTGTTGCGAAGCTCTGCAACGAATGTGCGCCATCGCTCAGGCAGGAGCTCGTCCGCCCATCCGTCCAAAGGTGAGCTTGTTGAGACTTGAGTGTGCGTCGAGGGCCGCATATGGAGAAAGATTCGGCCCCCATCCTTGTAGCCTGTGGGCTCTGTGTTAGTACTTCTCGCGGTGCTGAGGCGAGAGCCGCGTTTTGGAAACGAGCCCCCCCCTATGATGGGCCTGTTTCCCACCACCACCACCGCCAGAAGTTGGAGGGGGAGGGGGTCCTCCTTCTCCTCCTCCTCCACCTGCTTCCCCCCTCCAACTTATGGTGGCGGTGGTGATGGAACGCAGGCCCATTACGGTCCGTGCAGCCGCCCGCAGGTCCTGCGGCAGGCGTGCGCGGCGGCGTGGAGAGAGCACCGCGTATTGTGCAAGAGCGGCTGGCCCTCCACCCGCGCAGATTGTGGACACCTTTTACCACCGAGTGCGCGCGGCTCGAGCCGGCATCACCCGCACAAGCTTTGACGGGCCTGCTTTCCACCACCATCAGTTGGAGGGGGAGCGGAGGGGGTCCTCCTCCTCCTCCTCCTTCTCCCCTCCTCCTCCTCCATCTCCTCTTCGGTCTCATCCCCCCCTCCTCCTCCTCCTCCTCCTCCTCCTCCTCCTCCTCCTCCTCCTCCTCCTCCTCCTCCTCCTCCTCCTCCCCCTCCAACTTAGGGTGGTGGTGGTGGAAAACGGGCCCACCAATGTGTGCGGTGGCCGCCAGGGGCGAGCGCACTCTGGCCATGCCGCCTGAGCAATGCTACAATGTCTTTGGATGGGGGGGGGGGGAAGAAGGAGAAGGAGGAGGAGGAGGAGGAGCAGGAGGAGGAGGAGGAGGAAGAGGACGACGGTGACTACAGCGAGGTGGACGTCGCCGTCGGCGACGACGGGCAGGAGTGTCAGGAGAAGTGGAAGCATGATGAGGAGCATCAGGAGCACGCAACATGGGAGCAGGAGAACGAGGAAGAAGAGGAGGACCAGGAGGAGGACGAGAATAAAGCGGACGACGACGACGAATAGGAGAAGGAAGAGGAGGAGCAGGAGGGGGAGAAGCAGGAGGAGGTGGAGGAGGAAGAGGAGGACGAGGAGGAGAGACCGCTTCCTACTTCCCCCCCAGCCTCCTCACGTGGTTCCCTCTTCTCCTCATCCTCGCTTCTTCTTCACCACCGCTTCCACCCCTCCTCTCACTGCATCGCCTCGCGACGGCGGCAACTCTTGCACATCCCCTCTCACACTTGTCCCTCGTGGTCGTCGTCGCCGTCGCCGTGTCCTCCATCTCGTCGTCGTCGTCTCCCCCCCTTGCTGGCACCGCTCCGATGCGTGCTGGAGCGCGCGCGCGAGGGGATGGGGCAGGAGGGAGAAGTGGGCACAGAGGGGGGGATGTGGGGGGAGGAGGCGAAGGAGGAGGTGGGGGAGGGGGGGCGTTTAGGATGTAGGATGGTAATTATGAGAAGAAGGAGGAGGAGGAACGTGGCAAGCGTTACGTAAACATGGGGTGATGGATAAGGAGGAGGAGGAAGAGGAGGAAGAGGAGGAGGAGGAGGAGGAGGAGGAGGAGGAGGGGCAGAAGTGGCACGTGAAAGAGCGGGAGAAGGGAGGGGGGAGATGGAGGAGACGGGGAAAGGCGGAGGAGAAGGAGGAGGTGGAGGAGGAGGAAGAGGAGGAAAAATAACAGGGCAGATAAATACGTAGGGGAAGGAGGTGGACGAGGAGGAGGAGGAGAAGAAATGAGAAGAGGAGGAGGAGGAGCAGGAGGAGGAAACATATGATGATGAGGAGGAGGAGCGGGGAGGAGGAGGGAGGAGAGGAGAGGAGGAGGAGAAGAGGAGGAGGAGTTGAGAGGAGGAGATAGGAGGAGGAGGAGCGGGAGGAGGAGGAGCGGTGGAGGAGGAGAGGAGAGGGAGGAGGAGGCGGAGGGGTGGGAGGAGGAGGAGAAGGAGGAGGAGGAGGAGGAGGAGGAGGTGGAGGAGGATGAGCGGGGAGGAGGGGGAGGAGGAGGGGGAGGAGGAGGAGGAGGTGGAGGATAAGGAGGAGTGGGGAGGAGGAGAAGGAGAGCGAGCAGCTCCCCCCCCCACATCCGCCGCCGGCCCCCCCCGAGGTACAGAGACCTGATGCGCCAGTTTCAGCAGCAGGAGCCTCGTTACTGGCAGACCACGACGACGAGGGCGAGGACGACGACGAGGCCGACGAGGCCGAGGACGAGGACGAGGACGACGACGAAGAGGAGGAGGAGGACGAGAACCACTGCGGCGGCGGCGGCGGCGGCGACGACGACGACGACGACGCCGACAAGAACGCCACCACGGTGGCGGCGAGAGGAGGCCGAGGGAAGGCCTCTGCACGGCTGCCGGCCTAGGGGGGTGGGGGGTTCGTCTCGGTCTTCTTGCTCTTCCTCACCTTTCTCCGCTCGGTCCTCCGCCACCTCCGAATTGCGTCCCTGGCCCGTCGCTTACGATGCATCCATGTGTCAGCCGAGCTGTCCTGCAGCGCCGCTTCATTGTTGCCCAAGTCCAGGCCAGGGATGTGTCTTTGGTGTGTGTCCTGCTGACCTGCCCACCTCCTGAAGCAGGGAAGCGGGGCCCGGACCCGGGGGCTTCCCTCAGGGCCAGCTCCTGCTCGTGTGCCGTGTTTTGACGGTCCCGGAGACCGTGGATGGCTCCAGGGGCCCCAAGCCGCGAGACTCTCCCAAGGTCCCCAGCATCGTTGATGCCAGCATCTGCGCTACTTCGGCGGCACGCACGGGGCCTCCTAGGGAAACCTCTCGCATGCCGATCGCTGTAGGGTGTTGTCTGGGTCTATCAGATCTGGCCGCACCTTCCAGATTTGCGTCTCATGGCGCGCGCAAGTGGAATGAGGAGAATACAGAGGGAGAAGGAAGGCAGGGAAGGTTGCGCAGGGGGAGGAGCGGGGAAGGAGGGTAAGTTGGAGGAGAAGGGACGGAGGAGGGGGCAAAGTGAGGAGGGGCTAGGACGGAGAGAAAGGAGAGGAGGATAGAGAGGCGGAGGGGGAGCAGAAGGCACAGACATAATAGTGGATGATTGGGAGGTGGATGAGGAAGAGAACGAGATCGTGGAGTAGGTGAACGAGGATGTCTAGAGACAGCAGGATGAGGATCGGACAATTCAACCTGTTACCGAAAAGGATGATAACCTATACTCAACAACGACTTTTGATGATGAGTAATCGAGATGTTGAGGATGGATGACGGCCAGGAGGAGGGCGATGGCGAGGGCGAGGAGCGCGAGAGAGGAGCAGGAATACCAGGACAGGGGAAGGACTGTGGAGGCCTGAAGGGGTCCCTGGAAGGTCCTCCTTGATCCTCCTCGATCCTCGAACAAACTGGATTCTCCTTCTCAGACAGCCTCGATCCTCCTCGGTCCTCAAACAGCCCGACCCTTCCCGAACCCTCGAAGGTCCTCAAGCAGCCTCGACCCTCCTCGCCGTCGTCGTCGTCGCCAGGGGGGCATTGGCGGGGCCCGACGACAGTCCGACGACGGCTGGAGTGTCAAGTCAAGGCAAGTCGGGCAGGTCACATCGAGCATGACGATGATGCTGAGGGTGATTATGACGTTGAGAAGGCTGATGGTGATGTCTTACGGTGGTGACGGTCCAGTACGGTGATTGTGGAGATGATTATGATGTTTGCCATGATGATGTTGTTGATGTTGATATTGTTGCTGCTGATGATGATGGTGAGTATACTCGTGTTGATGGTGATGTGCGTGGTGCTTGTTGTGCTGACGCTGTTGTGCTGGTGGCTATCATGGACGTGATCGTATGCTGGTGATGGTCATGACAACGATGAAGATTATTGAGGTTGTGGTGGCAATGTCGATTATTGTGACGGTACTGATGGTGGCGATGATGGTGATGTGATGGTGGTGGCGATAACGATGTCGATGTCGATGCCGATGTTGATGATGTTGATGATGAGGATGAGGATGAGGATATTGATGAGGATGGTGATGACGATGACGATGCCGACGATACCGACGATGATGATGCTGATGATAATGATGATGACGATTCTGATGATGATGGGGATAATGATGATGCTGATGCTGAGTTTGATGATGGTGATGGTGGTGGCGATGATGCGGATGATGTGGATGATGCTGCACCTGATGATGATGATGCTGATGATGATATTGATGATGATGGTGGTGGTGATGATGATGATGCTGCTGCTGATAATGATGCGTAGATGATGATGATGATGATGATGATGATGATGATGATGATGACGATGATGATGATGATGGTGATCTTCATGATGACGATTCTGATGATGATGGGGATACTGATGATGCTGATGCTGAGTTTGATGATGGTGATGGTGGTGGCGATGATGCGGATGATGTGGATGATGCTGCACCTGCTGATGATGATGCTGATGATGATATTGATGATGATGATGATGATGATGATGATGATGATGATGATGATGATGATGACGGTGGTGGTGATGATGATGATGCTGCTGATGATGATGATGCGTAGATGATGATGATGATGATGATGATGATGATGATGATGATGGTGAAGATGATGATGCTGATCATGATGATGCTGATGATGATGCTGCTGCTGATGATGATGTTGTTGATGCTGATGTTGATGCTGATGATGCTGATGATGCTGCTGATGATGCTGATGATGATGATGATGATGATGATGATGATGCTGATGATGATGATGATGATGACCATGATGCTGATGATGATGATGCTACTGATCATGGTAAGCATGATGATGCTGACAATGATGCTGCTGGTGGATGCTGCTGGCTCTCTCGCGCCGAGTTGGCAGGACCCGGATGAGGAGGAAGAGGAGGAGGCGGGTTGCGGGAGGCCTCGGGAGGTTTCAGTAGGTCCTTGGAGGCCTCTGGTGCCTTTCATAAACGCCCCGAAATGTTCACACGCCTCGAGCCTGTTCGTAGTCGTCGTTGTAGCTGGCGGGCGGGCGGAGGAGGAGGGGAAGGAGGAAGAGCAGGTGAAGGCCGTGAAACAAACTCTCGATTCAGGGGGAGGTCTCGAAGAATGAGGAGGAGGAGGGACACTCCCCATGTTTGAATTAACGGGTGGGAGGAGAAGGAGGAGGAGGAGGCGGAGGAGGAGGAGGAGGAGGAGGACAACGAGGAGGAGGTGTCGGTGAGGCGCCCCTGCGGACAGGAGAAGCACGTGGTCACCGTGCAGCGCTACGCTCGCGGCTTCCTGGCCTCCGCCCCCCCTCCTGTGCTGAGCCAGCGGCGAAAGTCTCAGTCGTCACGACGATGACTCAGACGATGAAGTCGACGACGATGCGGGAGCCGAATCTGCACTTTGTACGCGCAGGGTATTGTGTATTGCGGGGAGGCGGAGGGGCAGCACGGCGTGTGCGTTCGTGGTCCCGTGATCGTTTGTTCAAGGGTGGGTGGGCGGGAGCGTTTCCAGTCCCGCCCTGCCCCCAGACGTGCCCCACCCGCCCTTCCAGCACAGTCTGGGGTGTACTGCGCGGGTCGCTCAGGAACGCCTGGGAGACTGCGTAGCAGGTGCTTCCCTCTGGGCGTGCCAGAACGTGGGGGGAGGTTTCGGCCCCGGTTGCAGGACAGCCCTGCCTGTGCATTTGCTGACCGGGGCAAGGGGTTCAAGAGCTCCGCTTCGCGTCTTGGTGCGGGCTGGGTCCACGGATGCCCCAGGAGGGGGGGGGGGCAATTTCGTTGACCTGAGCCGGTGCACCCAAAATAGGGTTTCATAGAAGCACACCGCGGAAGCAGGACTGACGCCACGAACCCCGGAACCGTCCGCAATCGGGAACTATTTTGTTTATCGTTCCCCACAACATTCTCGGGGGCAACGATAGGGAGGGATAGGCTTAGGGTGGGGACGCATCGACCCCCAATCGCCCATTGATCGCCGATAGGGGCCTGATAGCCCCAACCTGCCATGATTTTGAGGACGAGGAGGGGGAGGTGGAGGCGGATGTTGAGGAGGAAGTGAAGGAGGGAAGAGGAGGAGGAAGAGGAGGAGGAGGATAAACAAGAGGGGGGGAGAAGGCGGAGGAGGAGGAGGAGGAGGAGGAAAAGGAAGAACAGGTTTGTCAGGAGGAGGAGGATGACGAGGAGGAGGAAGGGGGAGGAGGAGAGGAGGAGGACGAGGAGGAGGAGGAGGAGGAGGAAAAACGGGAGGGAATAGGGAGGACGAAAGGGAGGACGAAAGGGAGGAAGGAGAAACAAGGGGGGGATCCAGGCGTGGCTGGAAGACGCCGTGTCAGACGTGCTCTTGCCCCTCTCTCGTTGCGCGGCGGCGCGTGGCCGCCGCCTGCCAGGTCCGCAACAGGATGTGGCGCGAGGCCGTCTCCGCCGAGGAGGAGCGCCCTCGGGGGATCGAGGGCCCTCCGCTGGGATCAGAAGGGGGGGAGGAGGAGGAGGAGGAGGAGGAGGAGGAGGAGGAGGAGGAGGAGGAGGAGGAGGAGGAGGAGGAGGAACAGGAGGAGGAACAGGAGGAGGAGGAGGAGGAGGAGAGAAAGGAGGAGGAGGATATTGCAGGATATTGCGCAGCTAGGTGAGGGAGGACCGCCGCGGGGGTGCCACCTACCTGTCCGGATGCCTCTTCCCTCACCCCAGGCCTTTCCTGGGAGGTATTGGGTGGGGCAAAATCAAAACGGCCTGTTCGTGGTGGGGTGCCGACCTTGCCACAAACGGTTTAAACGTCCAGAGATCTTCCGAGGATGGTCAAAAGTCCTATCCATCGATCAGTGTCGTACCTAGCGCACGACCGACAGAATACTACTCGAGGGAGGCGCACCACCTGGTGGCCTCTGGCGCGGGCCCGTTCGATCCTACCTCCGTCCCCGTCCAGCAACCCCACGGAGGGGGGGGGGACCAGGCGGCGAAGGTAGAGGTCGGGCAGGCTTCTACACATCCCCGCTAGGCTCGGGGTCGGGGGGCCTGGGATGGCTCGGAGCCTCTGTGGGAGGTTCTGAACCATCGGAGGTGTCAACGAGCCCTTGCCCAAGCACTGCTACATAGGCTGCGAACTCTAGCACATCTGAAACAAGTTTATAACGCTGGATATACGCTGCTCTGTGCCACGGCGCATGTTGTTGCTGCTGGGCCCCTAGCTTGGCATGATCCTCGGCGTATTTATTTACCGTGAAACGAGAGGAGCCCATTTGAGCCCTCTGTTGTCTAGTGGCGTGCGTTTTCATGTTGCTAAAGCTGATGCCTCTAGGCCCTACTCCCCCATTTTCAGCGATCCGCTCCCAGCACTCCCGCCGCAAGTCGCTGTGCAGGGTGGCTGGGTGCTCGGCCCAGGCGGGGCCGCGCGCGAAGCCGTCCAGGATGGCCTGGCAGTCGGACCAGACGCGGATGGGCGGACAGGCCACCTGGAGGACTCGCAGGACGGCCACGAGTTCGCTCTTGTAGATGCTCTGGTCCCATTGCCCACCTGGAAGCGGCCCGTAGACCGCATACTTCAATCCGTTGCTCTCCGCCAGCTGCACGAAACACCATCCTCCTCGCCGCAGCGCCGCGTAGGCGCCGTAGAGGAGGCTGCCGTTCGTGTAGACATCCCCTGTGACGAAGCCGTCGCACTCGCCGTGGAGGAGCATCTCGTTGGCCGACGGCAGCTGCCACAGCCCGAGTTCCACGGCGGGGTCGCTTGCGAGGCCTCGGCCCCAGCGCTGCTCGGACCCAGGCCACGGACGGGCGCCACGCTGTGCAATGTGCAAGCCGCCGGAGGAGGAGGAGGAGGAGGGGGAGGAGGAGGAGGAGGAGGAGGAAGGGCAGGAGGAGGAGGAGGAGGATGAGCAGCAGGAGGAGGAGCAGGAGGAAAACGGAACACAGGAGGAGGACGACGAGGAATAGCAGAACGGGGGCGAGGACCAGTAGCCAGATAAGAACGGATGACATTGAGGAGGAGGAACAGAAGGAGGAGGACGAAACAGAGGAGGAGGAACAGCAGCAAGAGGAATGGGCGGACAGGGGGGATGTTGCTGCTGCTGGTGATGATGATGGTGATGATGGTGATGATGATGTTGATATTGATGATGATGCTGAGGATGAGGATGATGTCAAATATAGTAAAGATGGTGATGATGCTGATGGTGATGATGATGATGATGACGTTGATGGTGTTGATGGTTATGTGATGCTAATGCTGGTGATGCTGATGCTGATAGTGATGGTGAGGGGGGTGATGATGGTGGTGTTGATGTGATGGTGGTGGTGATGTGATGGTTATGATGGATGGCGATGGTGACGACGATGATGATGTTGATGCTGATGACGATTACGATGATACGATTGCTGATGATGACGATGCTGATGATGCTGCTGCTGAATATAATCATTGTGTTTATGTTGTTGATGATCATGATGATGGTCATGATGGTGATGCTGATGCTGTTTGCGATGATGATGCTGTGTTTGGATGATGTTGCTACGGAGGAGGATGGGAATGAGACGGAGAATGTCACAACCATATTAAAGCTAACATTGATGATACTATTCATTCGTAATACAACGACGAATACGAGATTAACAACGTACTGATCTAGTAGGCATACGCCGAATCACAATATGAATATCTAGACTGATATTAAGAGTCGCAATATTGGTAGCACTACGAATAATAAGACGAAGGATAAACATTGGATGAGAAGTTGGAGGGGGGGAGGAGGAGGGAGTAGGGAGGAGGCAGGGGGGAGGAGGAGGAGAAGGGTTGAGTGAGGATAGAACAGGGAGAAGGGAGGCTGGATGAGGAGGGAGGAGGGAGGAGGAGGTGGACGAGGGGAAGGCAGGTTTTAGATGCCAAATCAGTAACCACCTGAGCATGGAGAGGGACTCGATGTGATAGCCCTGGCGCCCCAGCGGGTGTGTTGTATGGCCCCGCCTTGCGGCCGCTCAGGTTTCGGATGTCCAGGCGCGTTCTTCCAGGGCCTCTTTCAAGGTTTGGCTTGGGCCCCTCGTTGGGGCCCCTCTTCGGCAGGCCATGGAAGGCCCATGCAAGAAGCTTTGGACGCCGCACCACCAAGAGGCGGTCAGGAGTCTCGCATCGCAGTCTCGGATGCAGAGAGTCCAGCTCCCCCCTATGCGCGCTGTGCCAGAGTGCGCCAGGCACTCTTGTCCATCGGAGGCTTTGCTGCGATGCGTTCGAGGTTGAACGAAGGTCGGTTCTGGACCCCTCGGTCAGGCAAGCCGCCACGCGTCTTGAATCCTGGGCTCAGGACCTCGACAAGGCGGCGGCAGGCATTGTCCCGCTCACTCTTGAGCTCGTTCCTCCTCTTCGTGCCTCCCACTCCACATCGTTTGGGTCGACAGGCCCGCGTCAGGCGGCCTGTCGGGGAACATCTTCTCGGACAGGTCGTCCAAAAATCCGGCCGACCCCCTCCTCTCGCGAGCTGGTTGGGGCCTCGCCCAGGTGAACGACGATGGGGGGTCGTTGCGGGGTGTTACGGGGTGGTGCCGTACGAGGCAGGCCTCTTCCAGACGGCGCGAGACGGAGAAGACTTCGCTGTCTTCATGGCGGCAAGAGGATGTGTAAATTTGCTGAGCGAGCATCAGATTTCATCGATTGTGCAGGCACGGTCGGATGCCTCCTCGTCCCAGTCGGCTCTGTCTCGGCTAGCTCGCGCAGTGCACACTTGTGGAGCAGGATTCATCATGTGTGCGCCGCAGGGCCGCCGACGGTGACCAATGTGAGAGCTCACTGTTCCCTGGGGTGACGTCGACGCGGGTCGCACAACCTTGCTTAACAAATTAGGCTCCGATCGGGTTGACGAGTTGGCCAAGAGAGGAGCCGCCCTCCACCCAGACACCAGCTCGGCCCGAAGCCAGATCCGCGCCCTGAGTCACATGGTTGGCCAGGTGATTTGCCGGGCGGGGGAGCAGGAGGTGCTCATGGCCGACCGTGGCACCCGAGATTCGGACCCGCTGCCAGACAAGGCCCAGCGTTCAGAAGTCAGGGCGGCCCGCGAGGATTTGGCCGTCGACCCTGCCTTGCGGGCGGTGTCCGTGAGGCCCCGTGCCGCGACGGGTGTGTTCCTCTCGGCTGAAGTGGCTCGCGAGCTGGCCATGCACATGCGTCTCACCAAGCACGCCCCCTGCCCACTACCCGTGCTGCTGGCCCAGATGGGTTTCCCGTCGCCCGAGGCTCCACGGTACAGTGCCGTTTTTAATACATGCTCTGCGTGCGGATCATGTATAAAACATGCAGGGTTGAGTATCAAACACAACGATGATTTTATGCATATTTTTTCATAAATTGATCATGTATTAAAAATCCTATATTTAATCAAATCCCATGTATTCAAAATTGCCCTGTAATCTTTTGCCTCAGTTCCGGTGCGTGCGCGTGGGGTGGAATCGAGAGCCCCTGCCAGGAATGTCGGCCGTCATCTTCGACCACCGCCCTCCGACGCCAGCGAAAGCGAGCTTCGGAAGGTGCTTTTTCGTGGATGGGCCCCCCAGTAAGCGGAGCTTACTTGGAGGTGCTTTTCTTGGAGTTGTTTTTCTTTTCTTGGATGTGCTTTTCTTGGAAGGGGCTTTTCTTTTCTTGGAGGTGCTTTTCTTGGAGCGTCGGAAGGTGCTTTTCGGATGGGCTGCACGATCGGCAGTTGCTGCCTGCCTCGGCCTGAAGAGCACCTCCATCGCTCCTCCCGCTGGGTCTGAGAACGGATGGGGGGCGGCGGCGGACGGTGTGTGGGGCGGGAAGTGGACGACACAACAGATGTGTGCGAGGTTTGGTATCGCCCCCTCGAAACTCAACGAGTATGCTGACTGTCTCCAGAGGTCCCTGGAGGCTGCTAGAGCCCAGAGAGAGGTCGCCTAACGGGCCTAACGATGCTCCCGCGTCTTTCAGGATCCCGCGGCGCCATGGGCCGAATTCGAGTTCTGAGTCGCGGGGTCGCGCTGATGTGCCAGGCTAACACGCCTCTGCCCGCTGAGGGTGGCCTCAGCTTTGCTGCTCGCTAGTGTTCACAAACCTTGGTCGGCATGGGAAATGAGGGGGGCGGAGAGGAGGAGGGAGAAGGAGGAGGAGGAGGAGGAGGAGGAGGAGGAGGCTGGAGGAGGGAGAGGCGGGAGGAGGGAGAAGCAACCTGGGGCAGGAGGAAGAGCCTGCCCCCGAGGAGCTGTGGGCCACACTGGAGATCCAGCGCGTGTGGCGGGGCTACCTCGGCCGCGCCCAGCGCGGGCCTCGTGCCGTTCGCGCGCGCGCCCTTCGGCCGGGGGCGGCGTCCGCTTTTGGGAGTACCAGGCGCGCGCGTCGACGAACACGACGAGTGGGAATGCCATTGCGACGACGGCGACGACGACGACGTCGACGTCCAGGTTTTAGGTTTTAGGTTTTGGGTGTCTTCTGTGACGCTCCAGGCGGCTTCCGGACGCTCCCGTGCGGCTGTGCAGGCAGGATGGGGAGGTTCAGGCAGGTGAGGAGGAATGGGGGGAAGAGGGCTCCATACCTCCCCCCCTTCCCGCCACCTCCTCCCCCTTTTCCTGCCCTCTCTCCTGGGTTTCCCCGCGTCCTCCGCGGACGCCGCGGACTCCGCAAGACTCTCGCGGACGCCGCAAGACTCTTGTGCGTATCGGCGCCCCCCCCAGGAGAAGAGGGCGTCACGCCCACCAGTCGAGCACCAGGCAACGGAGGACTGGGATATTGCCTTCGCCCTGGCCGCCCTGGCTTAGGAGGGCCATTTGGGGGCGGTCTTGGGTTGTCGGCGCCCCCCCCCTCCCCCGAAGAGAAGAGGGTATCACGCCCGCCAGTCGAGCACCAGGCAGCGGAGGACTGGGATCTTGCCCTTCGCCTTCGCCCTGGCCGCCCTGGCTTTAAGTCAGGCCTATCCCTCTGCAGGGGGAATATTCAGAAGTAGTAAAAAAATAGTCTTGGGATGATTGGCCTAGTATTGTGGACATTTTTGGGGTATGCTTTGACTACTTTCGATTGGGAAGGCCTGACGGCCAGTGCCGCCGATCCTGAAAGACATCGACGACGACCAGGAGGGCCTCAGGAGGGGGAGGAGGAGGAGAAGGAGGAGGAGGAGGAGGCGGAGATACGGAGGAAGAGGAGGAGGAGGAGGAGGAGGAGGAGGAGGAAAAGGAGAAGGAACAACACATTCCCCCCTAAGCCCCCCTCCCCTGGGGAAAAGGACCAGGGGAGGACCGGCGTTGGAGAGGGGAGGGGAGGGGAGGAGGACCCCCAAGGACGGATGCGTATCTGACTCCCCTCCCTCCCCCTGGGGCTCCTCCTCACCTGGGGAGGAAGACCAGAGGAGGACCAGCGCACTGGAGAAGGAACGGCGTGGTAGAGGAGGACCCTCAGAGGCGATGCGAATCTGAGCCCCCCCCCCCCTGGACCCCCTCCGCCGGGGAAGGGACCCTTTTGACGTCAAAGGGGTCCCTTCCCCATTACGTCCTCATTACGTCAAAGGGAAGGGGCTTCCCTTTGACGTCAAACCCATTCCTTTTGACGTCCTCATTACGTCCAAGGGAAGGGGCTTCCCTTTGACGTAATGAGGACGTGGATAGAATTCCCTCAAGCTGCTAACCCGTTTACCGAACGAGGAACGGTGTTCTCTCTCTCTCTCTTTGTCTCTCTCTCTCTCTCTCTCTCTCTCCCCTGGCGAGAGAGGACGGGATGAAGAAGGGGACGACAGACGGTTCCCCGCCGACGGGGCCGGACAGACATCCCACATACGCCGACAGTGTTGGCTGATCATTCGCACAAGATCTGGCTGTAGGGGGACGTGCCCGACCGAACCGTAGCTTAGGAGGGCCACCTGAGGGCGGTCTTGGGTCCGTCCTGGGGCTGTGGCAGCCCAGCCGAGGCCGTGTGGAACCGCCGTTGCCGGAAGGGCATGCGTGGAACCTGTCTGAGGCGTGTGTGTGGTAAGTCTGTGGCCGCGAAGTGATGTATTTGCGACGCACGTATGGTGCAACGTGTGAGAGTGCATCACGGATACCCACTAGGACATTGCAGGGGTAAGGGCCTGACGGACACTGGAAGCAGGTAGCGCCTTGTCTGTCTTTGCGACCGTAGCTTTCTGCATGGAAGGGGCGTCCTCCAACAACTTGGAAACAATCTCACTCATGGCACTGGCGTCTGTATGACGTGCGTGGTGGCGCAGCTATGTTATTGCATACGCCGGGTGCAATACCGTAGCTGCGCCTCCATGCGCTGTCAACGATGACAGGCGATTATCGTGTGCTGCCAAGAGCTGCCATACCATCTGATTGACACATGACGTGTCGACCGCCTGGCGTTCAATATGATACGTGGCACACATGGCACACATGCACACAACATGTGCTGCTTGTTGCTCCCAAGGGCTTCTGCCTCGAAGTTGCCCCGCACGGCTGGCTCATCGGCTCAGGCGAGCACGGCGCGAGCGGTCGCGTGCGCGAGCGCGTGCAGGATGCGCGACGACTCGCGTGGCGTGGCAGGCGCGCGGCGCGCTCGCCCAGGGCGCTGGGACGGCGCCCCGGGCGGCACTGGCTTTTGCGTGGGGCGGCGCCCCCCGGCGCCTCGCCAGCTGCTGGTTGTCCTGCTCATCTCGGCAGGTTGGCCCGCCGCAGCCGGCGCTTGCCACGGCAGTCGGAGGAGGAACAGCTGCGGATACCGCTGCTCGTCCTGGGGAGCCCTCGTCACCACGGCTGGATTCGCCGTCGTCGTCGACGTGTCGAGGATCCTGGCTCGCGGGTTTTGATCGCCACCTGGCCTTGCTGGGCCTCTTGGGGCGCCCTCGTGGCCACGGCTGGACTCGCCTCGAAGCGCTGGTCAGAACGGGCCCCAGGAGAGGTCTGTGGAGCAGCGGTATATTGGTACACGCCGGTCGTTGAACGTAGGTATTTGTGGATTTCCAGATCCCAATCAACTTTAGCCGCCTTCCTACATCAAGGGTCGAACGGCTTCTCTCTGCGGGCGGGAACCTTTTATGTTTCCAATGCCTTCCTACATGCTTCTACCCACTTGTTCCGTCCGACGGGTACCTTCCCAGACATGCGACGTCTTGCTTTTTCAGGACAGGCCCCCTGGAAGTCCCGACCTTTTCCCCGGGACTGGCTTCTCGTCCCGAATCGTTTTGTGACGCTCCCGAGGCCCAGGAAGGGCCCCCAGAGGCCGAAGACGGCCCCAAACCTCCCGTCCTGATTTTCGTTGTTGCGCCGCGACCATGTCCGGGTGGTGTCTTCCCCAGGCAGACCCCCCCTGGCCGCCGCGCTGCCGAGCTGCGTAGGCTGCGGACGCGGCGGCCGCTGCGCGGCAGCCTCCCTTCAGGACGATTGGCCCATTTTCGACCACCACTACCATACGCTGGGGAGGGAGGGGGAGGGGGAGGAGGAGGAGGAGGAGGAGGAGGAGGAGGAGGAGGAGGAGGAGG